TCAATGTAATGTCACTAATATTCTTAACTAACTGCATATTTTGTTTTCATTTTTTTAAAGGCGAGTTTATCACATTTGCGGACATACAAGAAACACGAACAGGATTTCCGCGTCTTCAATACAACGGTCACTCGTTCGGACGACGAATATCGAAGAAAGGCGAAATTGAATGTGTTGACTTTTATGGACAAGACAATATGAAATGGACGTGTACTAGAAGTGATCAAAATAAAAAACGGTGCACTGCATCAGTAGCCACAAAACGCGTTGACGGCTATGTTATGATGCGCGTAATCAATCCCAACCACATTTGTACGAAATAAGGATAAAGTTACGATTAAAACCGGTTCATATTTATGTATAAATATAGGCATTTATAATTGAACATAACGGAATACGTATTTGGTTTGTCCATTTAATTATCATTGATTCAATAAATTGCATTTTGTTTATAATATTTCACATAAATTTATACTGACTGTCTTTTCTTTATTTTTCTCTAATATTTTCTTTTTCCATTCTTTTCACCGTATTTAATTGCTGGATTTAATATATTTTCATTATCTTCTTTTAGAATTCACCATTTTCGCTGAAATTACCAAATCTGCTCGTGGTTATCCACGTGTCGTTTACGAAGGTTATTCGTATGGATTGCCAAAGCTGTCATACATCAATAAAAAACGCATCACATGGATGTGCACTGGCAGTGAAGTTGGTACTCGAAAACGTTGTACAGCTGCTGTGATCACGAAGATGATAGACGGGTACTCCATGATGAATGTCAAAAATAGTTATAAACATATTTGTCAGAAACCAGCTGAATCCAATCGTTAAATTTATGTGCATATGGGTTTTAAACTAATACACACATTGCAATTTTCGGTAAACAATTTCTTTACCGATATCCGCTTTGAAATATTTTTCTAATAAAAATAAATATATAAAATCGTTGAAAAATATGTATAAATTAAAGAAAAAATTAGAAAGAAAGTCTTTTTGAATGAATTGTGTTTTTATTTTGCATGAGATTTCGCTGTGTGGACTTTTCTTCGATATTCCATAAATATTTCACATGTTGACTAATTGATTTTCTATATTTTTTTCAGCTTTCACAGAGGTTGCCAAATTAAAATTGGAAAATGGTCGATTTAATTTGATTTACTTTGGCCATAAGTTCATAAGATATGGAAGTAATGAAAATACGAGATACTGGCGATGCAGACAGTCGTTTAAATATCAATGTAAAGCTCGAATTTTGACAAAACTCATAAATGGTCGCGAAATGATTAAAATTCAAAACGATCATCACGATCACAATCTATTGAGAGTGATTAAACAAGAACCAAAATAACATTTTTCATCAAATCCGTGAAGTTCATTACGTCTACTCGTCTCAACTGAAATCAACCGATTTGTATTTGTATTGCTGTAACTATTTGTCAGTGCATGTGTTTAGTTTGTTAATTTAATCTTTAAAATAAATCGTTTTTTGTGTCCAGTTGGTTTGTTTTGTGTGTTTATTTATTCAATGATGTGTGTTGATCCCTTGTTGATAAGCTTCGTTAATTCACCTTTAATAATTTCGATTTTGTACTTATATTCAAACAGGTTTCGACTTGAATGCAGAGCTGATTATTGAAAATGGGACCATTTCATTGATTCAAAATGGCCATAGGTTCATTCGAGATCGCGTTGATAATGATCGAAACTACTGGCGTTGTAGGAATTCCTTCAAATTCAACTGCAAAGCAAGAGTGGTTACAAAGGTCTTCAATGGCATTGAAATGATGAAAATCCGATATGCGTGAGAACTTTTAATTTTCTTTGAAAAAATGCTACATTTTTCCTATAGAATTTATTATTTATTTATGCTTTTTATTGAATAGCGATCACAATCACACTGAAATAAAAAAGGTGAAAAGGAAGCGCAGAGGTGCCAAGCAAAAAATCAAAGCAAAAAGGACCGCTGTACCAAAATTAATTCAACCACAGTTCAACTATCAAATGCTACCTCCTTTGACACCAAAATTAATGCCCAAACTCATACCGAAAACCATACCGAAAATTGAAAATGCCACGGCCATCAATAGATTTGAAAATGCCATGGCGCATAATGGAACTGAAAGCGTTATGCCGAACAATGAAGACAACGAAAACATTATTGTGGATATTCTCGATTAATAAAACGAACCCAGGAAAAAATGAACATTTTTACTAACAACTTTTTTTTACATTAACAACAATCTTTTAAAAAACATATATTAATCTCTATTTACCCAAATAAGAAATATTTTACGAAATTGCCTTAAAGGAGATGAAAAATGCTTCAAATATAAAAGCAAATGATCAAAATTAACCGATTCTGTGACCAACAAAAATGCATAGCATTTTAATATGTATGACAATGAAAAAATGTGTTGATCTTTATTCAGCTCAGCTGTTTGATGTTTTTCTTGAAAAACAAAGAATTTATAAGTGACGTTATGATTTGAGAGAAAATCACAAAATATATACTACTTGTTCTCAGAGAAATATTTTAATTACATCTGAATTTGTATTTTTTAAACAATTTAAAAGCAAATAAAGTGAAACTGCGTACGTTTTTTGGTATTTACAAGATTTACAAGATATAGATAGAGTAGAGATTTTATATAAATCCGTTCAATTTTTGCTAATCCAATCCATTTGTTTTCAAAATATTATTTCAGATACACTTACAGATTTCAGCTCTGTTAAGTTCACACAATTACATTTTCGAAAAGGAACCAAGGGGCCAAAATTGATACTCGACGGTTATTCGTACTTCAAAAATAATGGTTCCGCTGATCGAACCTATTGGTTGTGTAAGACTGCTTTCCTTATCGATAAACATAAATTCACTTTTGATCAATTCGATTTGTTTTCCGATATCAAACAGGTTCACGTAATCGGTATGGCAAATGTAAGGCACGGCTCATCACAATGAATAACACGCGAGAAGTTATTATTAAAAATCAGGTACTATTGTTTTGTTTATTATTTACAAATTGTTGTTTCAATTGGTTAATATCTGGTCATAGGATCATAATCATTTGGCCGAGGATGAACAGGACTATCAAATGCTAGAAATCATTTCATACGCTGATGTGATGAAATTAATTAATGATTGGGAGAAATAATCGCATCAAACCAGTTCAAACCTATTAGGAATGAAAGCCAAAGTTCAAACCTATGTGCTCTGAGTAAGAAATAAACCATGGCTCGTGAACAGCCAATCGAAAATGGGCAGTTGCTTTAATAATAATGTAATAATTCATCAAAAAATGAGTTGCATAAATGTTCTAAATATTTACAGGCATCTTTTGTAATCGTCAACATATCGTGTTGTCTTGGCATTTTAATAAACGTTTTCACATACATTCATGACAAAATCTCCGGCATTTTTAATTGCGCCTTGTCATTTTTTGCCTCTATTTTAAAAGATTAAATCTAATGAAAGAAATCTACCCATATATTTCAGAAGATGAATCATTGCAGCGAACGATGAGTGCAAAGAATCTGATATTTGTGTCTGGACAACGGAATACATTAAAACTTGTACTCCAAGGGTATTCATTTGGTCGAAATAAATGCATACACGATATAACCTATTATCGATGCTCAAACTGGAAGAAGCATAAATGCCGAGCGAAATTCATGTTGAATAAAACGAAGGGTGAAATTATCTACAAGAATATCAAACACACACATTTACCGGATTGTGATTGAATCACACTGTTTGTGATCTGTTTTATTGTTTTACTTTAATTGAAATGTTAAAATAAATGAAATAAAAAATTGTCAAGCATTTGGACTCATATTGTGGATCATTCATTCGATTCAAGTTGTGCAATAACCCTTTTTACTAATTTTACCAAATGTATTCTTTTTTTTTACTTGATAGAGCTAAAACCGTTTCAAATTCATCTCAATGCCAGTGAGCCGGTTGTTCAACAAAAAACTCCCACCAAAACATCAACGACAACAGCGAAAGAGGATACCATTCGTTATGTAACGGGTCAGAGAGGATCGCGTAAAATAGTGTGTGGCGGTTACTCGTATATCTGTGCTAAAATTAATGGAGATCGAAAGTATTGGGTTTGTGCCAAACAGCGCAGTCGAAATTGTAAAGCTCGACTCATTACCAACGTCAATGAAACGATTGTGGTGCGCCGCAATCAAAGCCACAATCATGACAGCGAAAACATAAAAGACCGACCGAACATTTGATCACAAACAGACTCAACAAATGACACTTGAGATTTAAAGAGATTGATTTTCTTAGATTTCATTAGCCACCAATTTTGTATACTAGACTAAGGAATTTGACTTGAATAAAAAAAAATGAGAGACTTTACTGAATTTAGGGATATTTATTTGAGTTCCGGTTCAAACTGTTTTCATCCAAAAATAAAAAAATAATTCGCAATTTTCTTTCATCATTCAAAACAGGTTCATCCTTCAACGAGTTGATGACATCTGTACAACAAAAAACGCTCAGTACACCGAAAGAGGCGATAGTTCTTGATGATCAAGAACTTGATTTGGTGCCAGGTCAACGTGGAAAGTTATTACTTCTTTTGGATGGTTATACATTCGCCACAAATCTTGTTGTTGATAAACAAACCTATTGGTGTTGCCGCCATCGAACCGTTAATAAACCACCATGTCATGCCCGTGCCCGAACGCAACTGAAGGAAAATGGATTGTACACCATTATAATCAGCCAACCATCTCATAATCACAAGCGACCAAATAAAGTATATAAGAAAACCACCGATATGAATATCGATTTATAAGCATAAAGTGAACTAGAGTAAGGAGACCTTATATTGGAATTGATTATAATAAAATTTTGGTTTTTGTAGCATTGATTCTTTTTTAGTTTGTTTGTTTTTTGCTTTGTTTTGTTTTAATTTTACTTTCAAATCTGAATTTGTGATGCTTTCATTACTAATGAGACTTCTTTTATTTCCATATAGGTCGAAGGAAAAGGCATTCAACACGACAATCACAATCGAAGAAGACACAAGCAAAACCATTACGAGCAGAAGTTGATTTGATCATGAAAAATCCACCAACTAAATTCAAGTATGTGCCGACGCTATTGGGGTCCGGCAAAATTAACATCGATGATCACGTTTATGACTATCACTTCAAATCACAACGAATCAATTTTTGGAAATGTTCACAGCCAAATTGTCCGGCAAAGGTCATAACACGCTCAAATGATGCCTGGATCTTACATCCCATTCATTCACATTGAACCGGACCTTCATGCTTGAAGATCCCCATATTTCATTGTTTGCCCAACATTTCCGAGTCATTCTATTTTTTGCAGTTTAAAGTTTACTTTCATCTACGCCTTATTACATAAGCAAAACAGAAATTACTTTACTTTTAAATGATATATCTATCTGTTATAATCTGATGATAGGGAAAACTCGGTCAGTTGATGAAAATTGTGTATAGGGTTTGAGTAACGTGAACATGTGCACGGTTCGAATTTTCGGGGGTGTCAAACATGAGAAAATTTCGAGAAGTATTGTTATGATGGAGGATTGCGATCTTTTTAAAGAATGGTTGATACACGTTAATTTTACTGTTAAAATCATTGTAGAAACCTCAAAATAATAAAATATTCGAATACGTGAGTGAAAATTTCAACTCAAACTTATAATGAGTGTCATAAATCCTCTCACTGTGCATGTATTCGTAAGCATAATGAAATGTTTTATGGCGTAGATGATTACTACAGTTTTATTTTTATTATCGCATATTGGTTTCTTTTGTAGAATAAATATTTATAATTTTTCTTTATTCGTTTTTGTTTTGTTTTAGTTCTGACTTTATATTGTCTTCAGATGCAATTTGAAATGTCTATACTAATAATGCAATTTTTATATTTTCAGTTACCAATTGGATGTGTGAAGTTTAATAATGTGTGATATGTGATATCTTAGTCACTCCTGGTGGAATAATTTATATCCTATCTGGAAAAGGCATGATAATAATAATTAAATTTCTTTTTTTCTAATTTTGATTCACCTTGATCTTTTTATACCTTTAGGTTTTCAATAAAAGATATGATTTTGAAATATTGTTTCGTTTGTTTTTTTTTTTTTTTTCACAAATATTAAAATATTTATTTGTTACAAAAACTTTACATTCATTTTTACAATTTTTATTTTTCGATTACTCATTTCCAGGTTCAGCACCAAAAAGGCGTGGACGTCCACCGAAAAATGCATCGAAAAAAGATGCAAAAACGTATAGCATCGAAGAGATAATGAAGGGCAAATCGTATCCATTGGAATTGGTTACAACAAAAGTAGGCGGAATGAAGGCTGCCTTTCAAGATTATTGTTTTGATTTTCACTTCAATCGAAGTGGCAATAAGTTCTGGCGTTGTTTGTCACATGTGAATGGCTGCCCGGCAAAGATTATGTCAAAAGGAAGTTTGGTTTACGCAATCAATTTGGAGCATACTCATTCTAGTGATCCAATTATTTTTGTAAACACAACGGATCTGGTTTCAAACAAAACGGTGTCAGTCCCATCACACATTGAACCGACTGAAACGATTGCCGCCACAATTAAGCAACCGACAAACTTAAATACAGAGCCAATCATTCTGAATGCTGATTTAAAAGAAAAATTGAAGCAACGTTTCGCTGATATAAAGAAAAAAATGCAAAAGCATACCGATTAATACGGTTTACAATTCGATTAAAATATTGCTCTGCATAAAAAAGTTTAACTAGTTGATAGTGTTAACTATTCCAATTACAACTTTATCTTATCATAGAATTAGTTGAAACTTTACCAACTTTTTGGTCGGAAATTAACAATTAAGCTCTTTTTGAACTTTTAGCAGAGACTTTTTCATGGCATGCGATTTTAGTCGTAAAAAATTGAACTGTCATCAAAATTCAGTGCCTTTACTTAATCTCCATATATTAGTTTTTTTTTTTTTTCAAAATTATTTACACAAAATTCGAAAAATTATTCATATTTTATGGTATTGGATTTATTAGTAATCATTTAGCCACTTTTTCTCGCCTTCTGCGCATATTTTTCTTTGAATCTATGCCATAAATCCAAAATTTAAACATCTGTTTTATAAATATTATCCCGTGTTGTTCTATAATGTCGATAAGCACTTCCGCTACCAGACACTTTTTATCATTTTTTTGTATTCGATTTTATTTCTTCTGTTAAAAATGAATACATCTTTTTATTCTAGCATTTAATTAGAGTTTGAATTTCTAACTTGCAACTAAATAAAGTAATCATCGCAAAAAATAAGCGTTAATCCCTTCATTTGTTCACATAACATGCAAAATCATTGTGACTATTTCGACTAATGAATATTTGATCTTTCGTTCTTAGGAAGTAAGCCAACTGTGAAATATATAAGCAGTTTGAAAGGTGGATTGCAATTGTGTGTGAATGGATTTCCACACACCAGACACAGACTTCGAGGAAGTACAACATATTGGCGATGCGTTCAATTCAGACCACTGCGGTGAGTTATTGAATTCTTAACATTAGTACCAACGATTCTTAATTGTGATGGTGTCTGTTTAGGTGTATGGCTCGTGTGCGAACGAAAACCAATGGAGATTTGGAGGTAGTCGAAATGTAAGTGTATATATACACTTTTTTTAAGAGAAGAAGTAATTCTCTCTCTTCTTAGTAATCACAATCACAGTATTCTGATGGCACGCCGGAAGAAAGGTGTTCTCAAAGAAATGTATGCACAAAAGCAGAAGCAACAACAATCGAAAATTCGCAAGAAGAAATAAACTTTATTGAATATCAAATTGGAATTCTGTAAATAAAAAGAAATCTCAAGCAAATGGTCTATTATTTACTTGCTTTATCCATTGTTACATATCACCATTTTCTTATTTTACTAACTAATTTACGTTTCTTTTTCTCTGAAGCTAGCAAGGTTCGAAGTGTTGACGGTCATCAGGTCGAATTTGCTTTGAGCGCAAGAGGACGGTTACAATTGGTGATAAACAATTACATGTTCTGCCAAAATGAGGTGCTGAAAAAGAAAACGTATTACGTTTGTTGCCAAGCCAAGGTTCTCGGGTTAGTATTTTTTTATTTGAATTTTACGTCCTTATAGTTAATGGGATGTTTTGGTACCATTTTTCATTTATTTGTTTTTATCGTTGAAATTTAACTTTGATCATGCTTTCAAATAGGTGTCCAGCTCGTGCAAGTTTGGTACATGCAACGGATCAAATCGAATTTAGAAATCTTCAACACAATCACCATTGGAATATTCCACGCCGATCGGGGGGCGAAGCTCGCAAATTGCAGCAATTGCGAAAAAAGGTCAAAAATGAAAAGAACATGTGATCGGAACATTTATCAACACATCATATTAATGTCGAATAATTAAATAGTTTAAAATATTTAATTGTTGTCGCATACAAATAAAATAGTTGTTTCTAAAAATAGATCAGAGTGCTTTTCTTCTTTAGAAATTGTGCCGCAAAAAATAAAATTTCAATATCAAATTAATGTTCTCTGTATATTCTTTCAGCTAAAATTGGCGGACACAGAGTTGAGTATGTGGTGAATCAAAAGGGGAATCTTCAGTTGTTGATTGATGGCTATCCATTTTATCGATCAAAATCGACCATCCAAAAGATCTACTATGCGTGTGCTCATGAGACCACATTCGGGTATGACCATTTTTCGTTCATTTTTGTACAAGTTGATAATACAAATTAAACAAACTCATTTCGATAGATGTCGAGCTCGAGCACGAACCATCAATGAAACAAAGGAATTGGAAATCGTTGAGGTTTGATTTTCACCGAATTCACTTTGTAAAATCGTTGTTTTAATTGAATTTAATCATTATTTAGGCTAGTCACTGTCATCCCATTAACGTCCCAAGAAAAGGAGCGGGCGAACGACGTAAACAATACAAAGAGCAAAGAAAAGTCCATAAAGAAAAGAAGCGAAACCAAAACAGCTAAATGGCAACCATTTAAAGAAAATAATAAAAAAAATTCATTGAAAATCAATTGTTCCTGTGTTTTTCTCTCGAAGATTTCAATTTGGATTTTCAATAGTTCGTTAATAAAGATTTCAATATTTCATAGCTCGTATTGTTAATGGTCACACCGTCGAGTACATGGTCAGCAATAGAGGAAAGATTCAGTTGCTGATTGATGGATTCGGATATTTCCGTAACAAAGCCGACTCTGAAAAAGAAGTGTTCTACTGTTTTCAATATAAAAGTCTAAGGTACATTTTTCAATTTACTAGCTGGAAACCTCAGTTAATTTTGTCTCTTTCGTAGATGCCCAGCGCGAGCTCGAGTTTACCGAAAGGGAAATCGCATTGAAATTTTCGACGCTGGTAATCATACACACCCAATAAATATGCCACGTAGACTACCCGGTGAGGCACGCAAATTGCGAGAAGCACGTCGAAAGAATAACACCAAGACGAATTGAAAAAAAAGATTGTCATATAATTTGAATAAACACATTTAATTAAAAAAAAAAAAACCTTGAATAATAATGTTTGGTTCTAGAAGTGATAAATAATTCATGCGTTTCGTTCCAATTTTTGTTAATCCAAATGTTCAAATTGCAGGTTTATTGATCGAAGGACATTGCATCGAGTATATCATGAGTAGAAAGGGTAATCTTCAATTGGTGATTGACGGCTACCCGTATTATCGTTATATCGTTGAAAATAACCGAACCACATACAATTGCATACAAAAACAGATTCTTGGGTTTGTTTTCACCCTTAGTGCGATACACTTGGAATTTTGATAAATTAATTCAATTGTTTATTTTAGGTGCCAAGCAAAAGCCCGGGTCATTGGTAAAAATGAGCATGTTGAATTTATCGATATTAAACATTCACATCCCGCGGTTATGCCCCGAAGGGCATTTGGCGAAGCAAAGCGACTCATTGCACTTCAAAAACAACGACTATCTAAAAGATCAAAATAAAATAAAACGTCGAAGAAGTCTTATCATTTATCAGAGATGTAATTCAACTCTGGTTTTCATCACATTCACATTGTAAATTCTATTTTTTAATTGAATTGTCATTATTTTTTAGCTCCAAACAATCTGGGCGTGTGGAAAATTGCGAATAATCCATAAAAAACAATATTCATTTGTGGAACTTTGTAAAGAAAGCAGTAAAAACATACACTGACACATATTGACAATCATCCAAACATCATCAGAAGTTTCGAATGGATGTCCCAGGAATATTCGATTTTAAAATTAAAATATATGTCCAAAATAAAAATCAATTAAAACCACCATAAAACTAATGTTGCATTTCATTCCATTCGCCTCTAACAGGGTTCCTTGTGTTTTGTCTCATTTTAAGAATAATTCTAATAGTTCTTTTTTATCTCCCCCAAAGGACATTTAGTTTCTGGGTTTTTGCTACCAAACATCTTGAATTCACCGCTTTGTTTCAATGGGTACAGTTTCTGTCACGCTAGTAAGCGCAAGTCACATATGTATTGGCGTTGTCGTGAATATAAGCACCTCGGGTAAGTGAACATTTTGTTTAATCGTTTGAATTCCATAAAATACACCAAAGAGTACTCGGTCCACACAGTACCGCATTCTTAAGCTTTGTGCTGTAGTTTAGCGTGTTTAATACAACTACGATGCAAACAATGCATCGTTTGTTCAGAGTACACGGCATTTTTACGAAATTTAATTCTCTTTTTCATTTTCTTCAATGACCTTATCGAATAGGTGTACGGCCAGTTTGAAAACGTTCTATAGCAGTGCTGAAATACAGATATT